TTTTATAATTGGTTTATAAAAAAGAAAGTCTTAGGTTTATAAGGAAGATATAACATAAAAAGAACTGATATACTACCAAGAAATGAAATAGATTAATAAAATAAATATCACCTTATTAGTTTTAAACAATTTATAACTACTCTAAATTTTATAAATATTATTTTATCGTAACTAATTATCATAACTATTTATTAGGAAATAGAATATTATTTATTTTTTATAGCCGTTTATCGTTAATAAAAATTTTTTAATAGTAAAAATGAAAATTTTTTATATGCTAACAACTAGAAGTAAAAGAGATTGTTCAAGTTTAACTTAGTGAAGTATTTGATAACATCCACTACAACGTAAGCTTATTAGTAATAGTAGATTAAAAAAAAAAACATTCTTTTTTATTGATAATACTATTTGTATAATTGTAATTTTATAGCTTATAAAAATTAAATAAAATACTATCAATATTAGCAGCAGAAGATCTGGTTTTTGTTCGAACGCTAAAGTTAAGCGATTTGAATTTGCAAATGTAAATACTTCATAGACATTCAATTTTAAGAAAAATTTTTAAGTAATATAATAAAAATTTTATCATTATATTTCTTTGTTAATTACTTTTCGATACATGTTAAGCTCTACATAAAAAGCAACGAATAAGCACATATTTTAAAAGCGATTTAAAAAGCTTTATACAGTTCCAATTGATTGGGTCATATATAAATGTTTCCAAATATCTTAATCGTTTAAAGAAAGTAATGGGAAATAGACGAGACAAATTTTTAAAAGAATACGTGACTTATTTAAAGTACATAACGAATTCATTCTCAAATATTGATGTTTGTAAAAAAGTTTGTGAATTCTTTTTAATATAGACTATTGATGCAAGACATCATTTATTTAAGTTAAATAATTTTACATAAAAACAATTGGTATCTGTGATTCATAGTTTATTAATATACGATTATTACGGCAAAAACTTTGCAATTTGAGCTATACAAATTGAAAAATTCTTTCTTATATTATAATAAAATAAAATGCAATAAAATAAATTAAACAAATGAAATAATAAAAATATTAATTAAAAAAATTACGAATTAATAAACAAAACATGAGACTAAAATAATATTGTATCAAATAAATAATTTAATTCAAAAATTTGAATTTAAGATAAATAATATAATGAGGTAAGCAACTCGAAATTTAATTAAAAACAATTAAAAAACTTTTATGAAATACATATATCGAATTAAAATCAACCTACGAAGCATTTAATTAATTCAATTGTAATTTATATATGTCTGATACAGTATAATGTTACTGCATTTGCGATGGAAGAAATCTGACTTTTTGAAAGATGTATTAGAGCTTAACTCAATATTTTACAAATTTCTTATAAATACAATTCCTTTTCCTAGAAGCATTTATTTTCTTGGATAACTAAAGACTTGCAAGCAAGTATAAAGCATCACTAATTTTATATGCAAATAAAAACAGTTTAAAAACAAAAATACTATAATAATCCAAAGTAATTATAAATAAGTTCGTCTCAATGAATATACAATATGAATTTACCTCAAAAAAATCAAGATTTACAAGCACAAATACTAAAGCATTGACGTTATTATATTTTAGGAAAGTCGATTAAAAATAAAAGAAAAATTACGAAATTTTTAAAAATGTTATATATTTCTATTTTACTATATATTATAAAAAAAAATCGTTATAAATGAACTATGAATATATGTTTTTTTACCCCGTTATTTTATTACATAAAATAGCATAAGTTGTAAATTAATCTTTCTTTATTTCTAAACAATTCATTTTTATTAAATAATATATTTATACTTGTTTACAGAGAGAAAAAAAATAATAATGAAGCAACAGTTCGTTTTCCTCTAATAACCAATAATGTTAGCAATTATTTTTGCTTGGATAAATAATTTTTTCATAAACGGCTTAAAATTTTTGTTTAAATTAATTTATATAAGTAATATAAGTTGAAGATGTTAGATTTTATTATGCCAATACAAATGTGGAATTATTAAATTTTATATTTTTGATAATAAATATAAATATAACATGTTTAAAAGAATCGGTAAAAATATTTCTTTACTCTCAACTGTAATATTAAAATTTCGATTAAACTATATACCTTTACTTTATACTTTTAAGAAAATGTTATTTATCATCAATATTATTATATTATATATGTAATATATAGTATATAGTAGTTATGATCCGACAAAGAGTATTTAATTAAGATTTAATTATTTAGATTTTTACCAACAGATTTGTATGTTTATGTAAACAATAATGAAACTATTATTGAACTATCAGTTACCTGTAGTTAATTCATTGTTATTTGACAATGACTTAACTAATATTTATAATATACTTTTTATTATATAATTGACATACAATTTTAAAAAGAATATTTAATCTTTTATAAAATATATAACTTTTTTAAATCTTGATGTTAAAATTCTTATCATCTTATCTATGATAATAAATTTTATTTTTCTATCCGCATTTTGTTGAATTTAAAATTATGTATACATTAAGTTTTAACTCTTTGTCTCTCTCTCTCTCTCTCTCTCTCTCTCTCTCTCTCTCTCTCTGTCTCTGTATTTTGTTCTCTTAGCTCGCTTTTTTGCATCCATTTCCGTGATTTTTAATTTAAATTTATTTTTATCATTATATTTTTATATATAAATAATGTTAAAAAATAGCATGCAACGAATTCGATATTTATTTACTTCGATTCGACAAAGATTAACATAAATATTATTATCAAGATTTAAAAAATGCGTATGTAATATTAATTATTATTGAAAATCTAGTTTATATTATAGGAAATTAAATATTTAAAAAATCAAGATGATTCGAAAGATCAATTATAAATAAAATAAATGATCCAGAGCACAGATTAGTTCCTTGTGAAATATTTAACACAATGCCAGTCTATCTTAGATCATTTTGGATTTTGTAAAACTATTTATATGGGTAATGAAATTTTATTCTAAATAAATGAAGTAAAAAACATTCGTTGCTTGAATAATATGTAATGTTATTATGTATATAATAATATGTAATATTATATTATTAATAATATAATAATAAAAATATATAATAATATGTTATTGCATATATTAATTATTTTTTACTATGGTTTAAAAATTAGTTTTATACATAGAAAGTTATCCATATAAAATTTTAATTATTGGTCGTTTGATCAATTTATTAATGTTCTGTAATTGAATTAAATGTTATATAAATATTTAACGTTATTTTAACAATCAAAGCTTGTTTTAATACATGCCACTAAAACAATAATTTATATTTAAAGTTGCATTAGTAACTATCTAAATTAGCTTTAAAAGTCTTGAAAGTCATATACTGCCAATGATTAGTGGAGCTGAAAATTGGTACAGTAAATATATTTATTAGACGATTACTTGATAAGAAAATATTGAAAAAATATCAAGAAATATACGTCAATTAATTATTCACTATTTTAAGAAAGAATATTTTATTTACAGTTAAATGTTCTATATGTGTGTTTAAAAATACTTTTTACGTCATCAGTTATACATAAATTACATATAATTAATTACACAATTAGATATTGAAAATAACAATTTAGAGAAATTTAAGAAACAATTACCTTTTATTTTTATTGATACTAAAAAATTTTAAATATTAAAAAAATGATATATCAAAATCATGTAAGAAGGAGAATAGTTGTATTCATGAATGTGTGGATATTTTATAATATAAATGTGATTTTTACTTAATCAAAGAATAGAATGTACGAGTACATATTTTTAAATAACAATCTTAGAAACATTCGATAAGTTTTTTATATATAATTTTTGTTTGTGCTACAAAATTAATCTATATCTTATACACGGTTTATTAAATAGAAAAACATGTAAAATGTATAAATATAAAAAAACAGCCCACGTATATGTAAAAGCAACATTATAATTATGATAGTTTTATAATAAATTTAAAATAATTTTAAATTATACAGCCTATCTAAAAAACTCAATTAATTGTATTATCCTTTTAGTAAAATGAAATTTATATGAATATTTATAGTCATACGAAATTTTGCATATTATTTAAAAATCTATGTAAAATCAAGGAATACTTTTCAAAATTTCAATAATAATATATACATTTAATTAATGTTAGGAAATTAGAAGTATGCCAGCATTAAATTTTATTCGAAATAAATCAACTTTATTTAATATTAAAGAATGCAGAGTTTTTGTTATGACATATTATATATAAAAGTTGTTTTTAATTATATTGAAAATAGATTTTATCAAGTAAAATCATATTTATCAAAAATATGTGTATGGGCGCGCGCGCGTGTGTGCAACATAAGTGGTGCATTAATCTTATCATATTAAAAATTTAATAATGTGATTCTGTCTAATTTTTGACAGTTATATTGATAAAATTGATAAGAATTAATATAAAAAATAATAGTGTTCTATAATATTAAATAAAATTATTTAACTCTTTACAAGCTCATTATATTACTATCTTTGTTAGATATTAACATTATTAGCATTTTTTAATATACAATTCTTATAAATTAACAGATTTGCTTATAAATTGCCAAAAATTGTTACAGCATATTTTAAACAGCCCTAATGTTTTTATAATGCATTTTGTATATTAATTTATGTTAAAAACATAATATTTTTATATTATTTTATATGCTAAGATTCTGCTTTATTTTTCATAAGCTAATGCTCGTAAAAATCGTAAAATAAAAAATTGTAAGTTTTTTTTCAGTTATGTAAATTGTTGAGTTTGGGAGTAAAAGTGTTATACATGTTACTACTATATTCGCAAGTAGATTAACATTAGATTCACGCTTCTAGAATATTTCTGAGTACTGTTATTCCTATCTAGATTAAATTGAGATTTTTAAAGAGATATAAGCACTCAATTAGTTAAATTGAATGCCAGTGTATTGGTTTTACGCTCGTCGTCCCGCCCGGTGATTGGATTTATTTTTCATTTTGCTGTTGACGTCTCGTTGACGGCAGCACATTTGCAGAAGACTCCAGCTCTAACATGGCTTTATATTTACGGTATGTAGAAAGGCTTTTTAAGCTGAATAAATAAATTTTGAAATAATCGTAAGGGCCACTTTTATAAATTGGTGTCAATTTTTACTTTGTTTTTCATATTGAATATCGTAGATTTTAAAAGATGATACGTATCTCAATTTTGGGGTTAGAGCTCTTGTGTACTTATTTCTTTGTAATTCTAAAAGCCCTTGAATATCTGACGTGTCATGTACCGGTATCCATGAATAATCGTATTATTAACAGAACTGCATTATTAATTTCATTACATTTATTAATGATCATTGAACATTGATTATGAATTTGTGGACGATATTTTCACTAATTTAACACCACATTTTTCATTGTTTAAAAAATTTTCGTAAAAAATTTTCGTAAAAAATTTTTTAAATGTTCCACATAGCGTCAATTGATATTTATTTATTAAATGCAGAGAACCAAAATTTTCTAAATTCTAAAAGTTATGAATTAAACAATTTTTCTTAAATAAAGTGTTTTTTTACAGGCTGGGGATTATAATATTCTTTGTTTCCATGGTTGGGTCTGTTCCCAGGGAAAATTTTAAGACATGTGAGCAAAGCAGTTTTTGTAGGTGAGAATTAAAAATAATTTTAATTTTATAAATTAAAATTTAAGTTATATATATATGTATATATTTTTAATAACAAAATAAAAAAAAACATCATTTCATAACAAATACTGTATATATATCTCTCATATATATATGTGTGTGTGTATATATATATATATATATATATATATATATAAATTATAATTGTAAATAATAATATACAATTATTATACATTAATGTTGAAGTAGTGAATTGAACCTTATTAAATTATTAAACGTATCGGAAAAAATTGATTTTAAATGAATTAAATATTCTATTACTTGTAATCATAATTATTTAAATTATTTAAATTTTATTGTATAATTATTAAATAATTTTAGTATTATATAAGAAATGTAAAATATAGTAAATACAATCTCAATAATAATTACTACTATGTCATAATACAAATAAATTCTTTCCAATTAATTAAGAATTTTGTTTAATTTAAAATGAAATTAATCGCATACCTTTAATGTATTAACAGTGTGCATATATAATTATACAATATCTAAATTTTCAAATCATAGATATTTACATAAAGAGTACAGAAAATAAAAATATAAAAAACTTTTTTTATATTTAAGGCGATGTCGGAAAGTCGAGCATGGGAAAACTGCTTATAATCTTTTGTTAAACACAACCACTCAAAATGATTCAACATTGTACGTTGAACTATACAATAAGGATACAGGAGTATATTACAACGTTGAATTTACAGCATTGAAACATGATTTATTCAGACTGCACATTAATGAAAAATCTCCATTGTATCCAAGATACGAAGTTGAATATGCATTACAAGATCACCCACAAGTTTCTCAATTGATTGTTGTTGAAAAAACAGCAACTTATATCTCTGTTGCAAATGGAAAAAATAAAGCTATACTTTATGCCAGTCCATTTAAAATTGATGTATACTCTGGAAATCAATTAGTTATTTCAACTAATGCTAGAGGTCTTATGAGATTTGAACATTTACGTCATAAACCAGAACCGTAAGTCAGAGGCAATTTCATATCTTCTATTATATAAGGTAGTCATTTCATTTAATTTCATGCTCCTTCCATTTTAATATTTTTTTGTAAAATGTAAAAATATTTTTACTATACACATTGCCAATATTACCTTTTCAACTTAAATATATTTTTTTTTCCATATTCATTAATGATTATTTTTAATTTTGGATAGAAAACCAGAACAGCCAGGACATGCTGATCAATCAGAACAAACCGATCAATCGGAGCCAGCAGAACAACTTGATCAGCAAGATCAAACAGTTCAACAAGATCAAAAGAATGAAAAAATAGAAAATGTTGAACTCAATGATTCAGAATTCCCAGGTGATGGAGCAGAAAATGATCCTGGCGCATGGGAAGAAAATTTCAAGAATCATCATGATGCTAAACCTTATGGACCTGAAGCGATTGCATTGGATTTCAGCTTCCCAGGTGCTGAGCATGTTTATGGAATACCCGAACATGCCGATTCCTTTGCTTTAAAATCAACAAAACAGTCCGAGCCATACAGACTGTATAATTTAGATGTGTTTGAATATGAAATTAATGAGAGAATGTCACTTTATGGTGCTGTTCCGGTACTTTATGCACATGGGTAAATATAGAATCTTTTAAGAATTATTTTAATTATGATCTGGATTAATGGTAAATTAGATTTAATTTTCTTATAATATAATTTTCAGAAAGAAAGCAACGTCAGGAATATTTTGGCACAATGCTGCAGAAACTTGGATTGATATTGTTTCTAGTGCGGATAACAATGTAGTTCAAAGCATTGTTAATTTTGTTTCTGGAACTGCAAAAAAGCCTCAAGTCGATACGCACTTTATGTCTGAATCCGGCGTTATCGATGTTTTCTTTTTACTTGGACCTCAGCCAATGGATACATTTCAACAATATGCTCAAATAACTGGATCCGCACATTTACCACCGGTAAGTGTATTTTTTAAATTGTCATATTTAACATAAAATAAGTTAAATGTTTAATTTCCTTTTAATAGCATATGTATATTATATATTAATATGGAATATTACACATTTATTTATGAAAGTATTAAATCTGAAAATGAAAAAATTCTAATGCATATTTTAAATTAAATTTATCGTTTATTTTTTCATCAAGATATTCTCATTGGCTTACCATCAGTCTCGTTGGAACTACAATGATCAAGAAGACGTACAGCAAATATCCGACAACTACGATAAGTATGATTTGCCACTTGATGTTATTTGGTTGGATATAGAGTATACCGATGGCAAGAAATACTTTACATGGGATGAGAGAAAATTCCCGAATCCTTTAGATATGGTGAGAAATCTAACATCAAAAGGTCGTAAACTTGTGGTCATCATTGATCCACACATTAAACGTGACAGCAATTACTTTTTGCATAACGACGCCACCGACAACGGATATTATGTTAAACACAGAGATGGAAAAGATTACGAGGGATGGTGTTGGCCTGGTGCATCATCTTATCTTGACTTCTTCGATCCTACGGTTTGTCTATGATAATCGAAAATTATTCTATTTTACTTTACTAAAAGTTAATATATTTATGTGGAACATTTTTATAATTCACTGAAATTAAAAGTACGTTTTAATCTATCTTTTTATCATTTTATATCTATCGTTTTATATCTATCATGTATATATATATATATATATATATATATATATTTGCTATGCTGTTTTCATTTTTACTCTGATATTCAATCATGCAATTTAAAAAGGTTCACGAATTTGTAAATCATTTTCCAAATAGGGAGTATAAACATTTACTTTTTACAATATTTTTAAATATTATATAAAAATTAATAAATACTCAATCAATTATAGTTAGATAAACACAATATGAAATTTATGAATAAATTAAAGATAATAAATAAAATAGATTTTCTAAAAGTAAGAAACAAATTTTTGATTCTAATTAGTTCATTAATAATTTTTATTTACAACTATAGGAATAATGTTAAAAAAATAGGTAAATTATCTAATTATATTTGTGCTTTACAACTTATATTTGTTATGTCGATGTGGATAGCTCGTGTAAGAATATTGCAAAAAGAAGTAGTGGCATTTATCAAAAAAGAAGAAAGATAGATTTACCATCGGGATATATGCCATGTTACATAATAAATATATTTTCAATACATAAAAATGATATTGTTTTACAGAATAAACACAAAAAAATATTTTGATAATTCGTTTTTCTATACATCGATAACGCAAATTATACAATTAATGCTGAGAAATGAAGGGATTTTAATTTCGATACTCTCTAATTTAAGCTGTTTAGATCTACCACTAGCACTTGCTTATATTAATTTCAAAATCACTATGGAAAACAGGTTGCAGACGTGAGACATAACCAGTTCGTTCTTAAATCTACAGAATATGATTCTCAGATTAAATTTTTGTCTTTTCAGTTTGACTTGAGCTTCTCTCAATCATGCCATTGTATTTATTTCATCTAATAAATAATAATAATATATACCATAAATATTTACAGTATAGCAGATAATGAAATGGCATAGTCGATAAGTGGACTTCGAAAATGCTTTTATAATTTTGTTCTTTTTTATTGAAGCTTTCATTTCTCTTATTTTATCGGTTATTCCTCTTCAAAGGCTAATATCATGTTTCTCGCATTTCTTATTACTGTTCTGTATGACAAGCTATGACCAAGCGCGAAGTTTGCAAATCTAGTATTAAGCTGTACCCACAGAAATTTATAATTTAAAAGTGTCAAATTGATTTCACATTTTTTTCGCGTTAATGGAATAATTAATTTTTTCTTTATACATAAAAGTTACGGCGCTAATTTTATAAAATAATTTTATCACGCATATTGAGATATTACTTACCATTCTTTAAAAGATAAAGATAAAATAAACTGCTATAGGTAAGGAAGTATTACATGGGGCTTTACGACTTGAGTAAGTTCAAGGGGACAACTAGTGACGTGCACATCTGGAATGACATGAACGAGCCGTCTGTATTTAACGGTCCCGAGGTAACGATGCCCAAGGATCTCGTACACTACGGTGGATGGGAGCATCGTGACGTACACAACATCAACGGTCTCGTGTATACGATGGCGACCTACGATGCGTTATTTATGCGTTCCGGTGGCACTTTAAGGCCCTTCATACTGTCCAGGTACGTACGAGATGAAAGAATTTATTTTAACAAAAGCAATTCAATATAACTGAACTGTGAAAAACTTGATGTATATACAAAGAGGATTATATTATAACTGAACTGTATTATAAATAAATTATAAAGAAATTACTTGCTAATCAATTGCCGCATTATAATGAGGCCATCGGTATTGTCCAGATCTTTCTTCGCCGGCTCGCAGCGGTTCGCCGCAGTCTGGACCGGTGACAACGCTGCCGACTGGGAACATCTTCGGATCTCCTTCCCAATGTGCCTATCCCTTTCGATCTCCGGAATATCTTTCTGTGGTGCTGATGTCGGAGGATTCTTTAAGAATCCCGAATCCGAGCTCTTCATTAGGTGAGCGATTCTTTCATTTATCTCTATTTCTATAATATTATATAAACCAGACCTTTATGATAATTTTATAAATGTTGACATTATTATGATGTGGCTTGATGCTAAATAAGGGCCAAATTCATTATTAAAACGTTGATTAATCCAATTGATATTTTAATGCACGCACAGGTGGTATCAAGCCGGAATCTGGTTGCCATTCTTTCGCCAGCATTCGCACATAGAAACGAAGCGCCGCGAACCCTGGACATTCAACAACGACGTTCTGAATATTGTGCGCGAATCACTGAGGCTACGTTATTCCTTCCTCCCATACTGGTACACTTTGTTCCGCGAACATGAGGTGAACGGCTCACCGGTTTTGAGACCCATTTGGGCTCATTACCCTACCGAGTCCGAGTCCTTCGCGATCGACGACCAGATCCTCGTAGGCGATGCGATCCTCGTGAAGTCCGTCTACCAGCAGTCTATTACCGAGGTTCCTGTCTACTTCCCCGGTGAAGGCAAAGTTGCCTGGTGAGCGAATCGCTTTTTTTCTTGGCGTCTATAATGTGACTTGTGCAGTGATGAATATTCTGATTTTATAGGTATGAAATTGAGACGATGGAGAAGTATGGTGCCGCGAGCCTAGTACAGATCCCGGTTACATTGCACAAGATTCCCGTGTTTCAGCGCGAAGGTTCGATTGTGCCTCGTAAGATGCGCGTACGACGCAGTTCTGTAGCCATGAAGAATGACCCCTATACGTTAGTAGTGATCGCTAATCAACAGGGACTGGCCATGGGGAACCTTTACATCGACGACGAGGCGAGTTTCGAATACAGGCATGGAAAGTATTTGTACCTTAGGCTATTGTTCAAGAATAACAAGCTTACGTCCACTATGCTACAAAAACTCGCGAATTATAATACTAGGAGTTGGCTTGAGCGAGTGAATATTGTCAATCCTCCTAAAGGCATTACCAAAGCTACCATATATTCCAAAGGTAAGAATGAAGAATATTATTTCTGTGCAATACCATGCAAAACTTTTCTTATAATGCCTCAAAATTCGGACAACCTTTGTAGTTACATTAATACCTTTTGTAATATCAGTGACTTAAATTACATAATTTGAAGTCAAAGGAAATTATTATAAAATTAAATAATAAGAGAAAAATAAGAAAATGAAAACCTAAAAGATAGTTTATGTTTTGGAACAATTGGCTTTCAATATTTCTAATTATAATTTTTACCCCCCTTGAATAATAAGCATTTAAGATATTTAAATATATCTTATTAATTTGTTATTTTAATATTAGTAAAAAATATATTATATATTAAAATGTGTTATATAAAAAAAACTGTAATAAATGTACTATTTATATATTTGTTTCAGCTCTGGGTAAAGCTGATTTAGAAGTCAAGTACAATCCTAGTAATAATGTTTTAACTATTCGCAAACCAGGTATAAATATGGGAGAGGAATGGATAATTGATTTAATTGCTTAAAAATTGTCTTTAAGTAAAACAAAAAAATAGGTGATGGATTTAGTGCGTTCTGTACATATCCACACTAAAAACTTGATTAAAGAATAATCACTGTAACGTTTTTTCATCCTTCATACAGTATACGATATTGTATCGTTATGAATAATCAAGCAATGCTGTACAGTTCATTTGTAGATAAATATAAAAGGAAAAGAAAAGAACAAAGAAACAAAGAAACAAATAACTAACCAAACTTTATAAAGTAGTTATTTATTACAAATAGCACATCATCCGAAGCATGCTTAATTTTTGCTTTTCTTTTTTTTTGTAATTGTTATTTTACAGTTTCATATAAACTCATAGATTACATGTAAGAATTAGATGCATGTCTATAAAGATAAATGCATTTCATTTTTACGTAAGTCAAGATTTAAGTTTTTATATTATGTTACAAAAGCAAAAAAGAAAAACCGAGGAACCAACTGTACTTTCAATACTTATAATGTATAACAAAAATAGCAAAGTGGAAATATACGATTTTGTTATAATAATGTGACATTTATTTATAATAAATCAATTAGACTAGAAATAAAAAAGAAATAGATTCTATTTGCATTTATCTAAACAGATTAGTATTTTTATTTTATTAACACAACTTTCTATACTTAAGAATTTTCATAATAAAATAATTCATAGTTTAAATTAAATTTATTCAATTTTCAATGAAATTACCTTTTAAAATTCAAACAAGTATTAGAATGTCATACTTAATTTTACTAGTTCTTTTTACAAAATTAGTTTTAAATTAATGATTTAAATGGTACATAAGAATAATAAATTTTATGAAATATAAAACGTATTTAAAGACTTATTTATTCAATAAGTTTCTTTCAAACAATATTTACAATTTTTTCATACGAAAATCTATATTTATCTTACTACCATTCAAGAGAGAATTTTCATCATAAGTATTTGTAATTAGAATAATTTATACGTGGAATGTATAAAAAATAGAATTTCGTAGACCATCTTTATATTTCTTACACGCAGATGCAGTAGTAACATGTATCTAAATATTACAACGCGTATTAATTTGTTTTAACATTATTGCTTTCTGTTACAATTTATTTATACGCGTTCAGTAGGTGCTTGTTTGTGTGCCAAGTACAAGAACCCTATAGATGAGAGTGCCGAGACAAGGAATATCACGTCGAACCAGCGGTGATAAAAGTTAAATTGCAGATCGCCCAGCACCTGTGTTATTATAATACGATACTCAGCTGGCATATTCATACGCATTAATAACACTGATGATACGAAATACATACCCTGGAAGATATTTTCTTTAATAGTTTAAAAATAAAAGTATATTTAAGGCTTATTGCTATGAAATACTATAAAAGTATTCATATCTTACCATTATTTGAGCAAGTATCAGTACAATAATATTTGAAGATTTACTGCTTGATATTGCATAGAAAAACTAAGTGAATAAACAAATAAGTAAATGAATATATATAATGTAAGATCTGAATAATTAGAGATGAAAATATGTTTTTCTTTCCAAACCTTTGTTAAAGTGAGCAGTAATCCTCTAATAGAAGTTACAACGATACAGCCGACCAGATAAAAGGATATGTGCTGAGACCAAAATGTCACATCAATATCAAAACCAATCCAATGTACAGCTATTTCAATGCCTTTAGTTACTGGATCTTTCTTTCCTACTCGATCAAAAACTATATTTATCGTAGACTGAAAAATAAACTACAGTTAGTAATTTTCACATTCACTTTATTTAAAATCAATTTATGCTTAAAATATATAATTTTTATCAAACCAATAAGTATTTCTGAATAATTTATAACTTAGATTGAAACAAATTACATGTACTTTATATAAATCAAATTTATTTTTTAAAATATTTAACTGTATTGGATTAGTCTTATTGATTATAATTTAAATACACTATATTAATTTTTATGTTTTAATCAAGTATCTATAAATATAATTCTAAAAAAATTATTTAAAATTTTTTCAGTGATTTTTAAATACTGAGAATTTTTATAACTTACTCGCCATCTGAATATAAAAATTTACAAACAAAAACTGGAATTATAAGGCTATACTTACAATGAAAATTTTCCACAAACAATATATTGAAAAAAAGTAACCAAGAAAATTAAAATATTTCCCTTTCCATGTTGCAGCCCATTCTAAACGTTCTCTTGCATTATGTATATCATGAGCTTCTAAAAATAATTGTCTAGACAATTCCTCTAAAGCTAATACTTCTTGTTGTAATTGCTTCACATCTAAAAGTAGAAAATAAATTATAAATAATAAATCTGTATTAAATAGCTAGAAATATTATAAATATTATTATTAATAACTTAACAATTGTCTTAAGTTTGATTTAAATTATATTATTAATGTGATTTAACTTTAAATCTTACTTTCTTGGTTTCCTTTAATGTTACCTAAGGGTGTTAACATGCCCCATAATCTCGATCTCGAATCAGTCTGTACAGTTTGAACCTGCCCTGTTTTGGCTAAAGCTACACGTTTTTTTTTAGCAACAATCATATCCATTGTTTGAAGCAATCGTCTCTCTATTACTTGAACATCTGCATATGAAACTGGCCGCATAAAATATGCCATCGATGAATAAGGATAGTTCACAGCACCAAAGCCTGATAGAAGAGCCATAACGGTAACACCAATAACACCTATTCTACTAACTCCTTGCTCAATTGATAACAAACCCTTCTTTGGACTTAAAATAGGAAAAGGATCACCTAGTTTCCAGAACAAGTATAAATAAAAGAAATACACCAAAACGGTCAATGGTCTTATTAAGTTCATTTTTACTGCAAATAAAATAAGATATATTTAACATAGAAGAGACAGCAAATAATTTTTATTACTTACCAAATCTAATATTGCTAATAATAAAATATGCAATATAAAATGGTATTAAAACAATTACCATAAATAGTAACAAATAAAGGCCAATATTCCAATGAAAATATCTAGAACTTTATTAAAATTTCAGTATTATTAGTAATAACATTAAATTAATTTCTTTTTAATTATGAATATTTATTAAAATTTACCTAGTTTCTAGAACACCAACAATTTCAAAAATTATCAGTTCAAACATTGTACAAGATAATGAAAAAGTTGTTGAGAAAATAAGCTGGACAAGCCTATGATGTACTTCATAATCTCGAAAAAGTTGTTTTACAAAGAAAATCCATCCTCCTAAGAAGAAAAATATCTAAAATAGAAATAAAAAATTGAAACTATTAATATTTAACATATAGATTTAAACTACGTATAATGAGGAATATAATGAGATTCATATTATTAAAAAGTAAAATCAAGAATTTGATTATAAATATGTATTTTCAATATGATATATTTAGAGGTTACACTTATAAAAATAAAGTAAAGTAAAATTATTTTACCTGTGTAATAAGGATGATGAATGTGTCTTCAATGAATCCCATATTTTAGCTTAAATTTTACATATTTATATAAAAATATTATCCATTTTTATATTTTTGAAATGTGATTGCTTAACAGCTAATCAGAATCGTAAAATTTCTATCCGATCTAGCCGACAGTTTTTAATTATATAAAACAAAAATTTTAATATATTTTCTTTAATTAGATTCTTATCACAATTTTTAATATATTTTCTTTAATTAGATTCTTATCACAATTTCTAATATATAATTTAGAATCATAGTTATTAAAAAAAACGTTTAATATAAAAAATATAAAACGCATCCATTAAAATATGAGTTTAATGGTTATTTTTACATAAATTTACTTTACTGTAAAATATTAACAATAATCAGCAATGTCTGTCTAATTAATGAAACACAAATTTTAACCTCGAAGTTTAAAGAATTTTTATATTGCATATTAAAGATATAATTATAACGCTTATTATATCGTACAGACTATAAAAAAAAAAAAAAAAATTCATATTTGAAAGGACAATGATTAAAAAAGAATTCTTAGGTTTATAATATTGTATTTGTTTATTTTATTTTCATAATTAATCAATGGTATAAGAATAATTTTTATTAAGTATATCTTTCAATCATATCGGTTGATTAGTAGATCAATAAACATTCTAAATCTTAATTCAAATTGCCCTATTTATTTGTAATTAAATTGAAAAATATCAAACAATAAAAATAGCCAACAATAAAACAATAATTATGAATTTATACATAAAATGAGCTTACTTTAAATTTCAAACTGTGGAATTTATATAGGATTATCTTATTCTATCCACAGACGGATTAATTTATTTTTAAATTCTAATTTAAGTTACTTGAAAACGAACAATTTATCGAATCGTATAATTATTTCGTATAATTATTTTTATAAAAATAAATACTGATATTTAAGACAATGCATATATGCTTCAAAAATCAAAATATGTAGAGAATTATGGAATTCCATTTTTGTTAGATCAATAAAATTTTGAATCGAATTACAGTAACACTTTGTACAGCGCCACCTACTGATTCTTGTAAATAAACAAAATATTAGGGAAATATAGGATATTTTTAGTGGTTTCGTACCTACAGTAGAAAATATCAGCATCCATTTTTGTATTAATTCGTGGTGTGCATGAGAAATATGAGCTTTCAAACAATATGAATGCGTTAAATACATCCATAAAATTAGCAAATGATATTTTTATTAATATTTTTTAATTCTTATAAAATACTTGCAAAATCTATTATTTAATGTTGTATTTGATAAATAATTGATGAATGCGAAAATGGCGGGAAATAATCGAAATATAGTATGTGACCGTAATTTCTATGAGCATACGTCAAGAATCAACTGATCAATAACGATCATTTAATAAATATTGTAATTCTTATTACTTCTAATTATTTGTTTCCCCATAGAATATTCGCTTATAACTGCAATAGATAGACTCTGAAAAATGTTTAAATAAACTATTATTATTTAAATTAGCCTATTACTATACTAAATTATTATTAAATTTGCATGTAAATATATATTTTTCCAATTTATAATTTTCGATTGTAACTTATAAATTTAAAAACAAATAATATTTAATAACTAATAAAATTAAAGTAAATACTGTTCATTATGCATACACGGTATCTCCATTGGACTATCACTATTTTGACGCAGTAAACTGACAATTTCTTTGCTATTATGACGATAACTGACATTGGGTTTAACTTACGATAATTAATTTTTTACTTAACCAAACATTTTTGGCAAATGACTTCAACGAATGAGCTGCTACAATTTAATAATATAAAAAAGAAAAAATGGCAGTAAAATGAACTGTTTTGTAGTATATTGCTGACTTTATTATTTGATTTTTAATTCTAAAATGCAAATTGACGTTAAAATTTTAAAAAAAGTGAAGTCTGGTTCGTAAAACCGCGAGTCATAACGCAAGCGCCACCTGGCATAGCTTATCTTTTTCACGTATAGTCAAAGTTATTGCGAGGGAGCGAGAAAGCATATTTGTTATGGAAGCAGAGAAGCCTCGGAGAGTTTATAGGTATTCATTGTTTTTTGTGCACGTCCTACATTCGGCTAGTGGCTCGAAAATAAATTAAATCAGTCGCCCGGTGTTACAGTCATTATAAATTCTTAATTTTCTGAGTCTAAAGTTCAATAAATATTTGGTTGTTTTTGTTCTTCAAAATCTTGCTAATTTATTAATATATTTCTCATTGCTTGCTTATTAATATTGCACTTCATATGACTACACTTATAATAAATGTAAACGTAACCTCTAAAAACAACATACTTTCGATGGATTCTTCCTATTACGAGTAAAGGAATACCGTTTTGTTATATTAATTTGAAATAAGTGATTTCAATGGGGACTTGTGTTTACAATTTTTCATCTTAGGTTATAAGTACCTCAATAAATGCTGTAAAAGCATCAGTTGACTTTTGGTTGACAGTATCGAGAATAGGTATGAAGATGTGAGGAATGTATAGAATCAAATAAAAAGAAAAATGGAACTCGAGGACAAGAGTCCGCTAGCTGTTGAAATTGGGCAGGAGGAGAATACAACCAGTCTTGATAAGTCCGCAAATATTGATCTATTGAGCGATTGCCAGAATGAAATGGAAGGAACTGTGGTAACGAGATACTAGAATTTTAATATTGATAAGTAGTTTTGAATTAAGACTACAATAGTCTAACATTGAAAGATAATTTCTTTGTTGCTCCATATTGAAAATTTTTGCTATATTACAAACTTTGTGTTATGAAATGAATTTGTATATTTAAAAATTTATTTAAGAAGTAGTTTAAAACAATATATTTAATAGTAGATCTAGCTATTTTCAATAATTACATATACATTTAATAAGAAATACATGGGAATTTGTAATAAATTATTTTTTGAGTAAAATAAAAATAAAAAGTGCCTTTTATTATGTATAAATATTTGTACTAAAATATAGAAGAAATAATTGTAAATATTTTTTTATTTTCATGCAAATGTACTTTCTATTATAACCTATAAATAACAGACTGTGTAATAATAATTAGGTATCTTTCTAAATACATTAATTTTAAATTTCATTTATTTAAATTTTTTGTAATTATAATTGCGATAGTATGTAATGATTTATAAATGTATATAAGCATATATAAATACAAAATATAATTGGCATCATAAACTTTAATCAAAGATGGTATTTAAATATAAATTATAAATATATTTTAGATAATTTATGACAATGACGCACATGGAGAGACAATTGTTAATGTGGTTACAAATTCAGATTGTAAAAATAATCTACCTTTAAAAGGTTCAGAATATTCAAATAATATGATTACCTTCCATGCACCTACATGTGATACTATACATGATGTGTCCAAGGATGGTGCTTGTAGTGAAAACGTGGTACTTATATTTTATTCATATATATTTTTATTGATATATAATATATACGCTTGTGTGGGCAATAAGTAAATAATTCCTTAATATAGGAATTTCTTAACACTAAGATTATTTTCTTTGCTTCCTATAATCATGCAATTTTTCGATTTAAGGATAATTCAAAAAATTCTACTACTATTAAAATTAATGAACCAGAACTGGAATCAGATGACGATGAAACCATTGCTACGTTTGTAACATCTACAGGTCAGCAATTAGCATTATATGCTGTAGAAGACTCGGATGAAATTTTTGCAGTTGCTTTATATGATGAATCTGGCGAACCTCCAAGTAACTTCCATTTTCTTTTGAAGTAAGTTTACATAAATAACTACCATATACTTTTAATATAATATTTCAATTATTTGTTTAAATATAATATAATATCTTTTAACAATTTAAAATTTAGTTTAATATAAATTTATATTATATAATATGTATAATAATGTGTAATAATATTTATAGAGCCGACGTTGAAAGATTAATTGGTGAAGGTGCTGTAAAGACGGTAAAAAAACCAACTTTACAGCAAAAAAGAGAATCTAAACCTCTAGATAAAAAAGAAGAAATTATATATGAGACGTATGAGGAAACTAAACGCCGATATGAAAAAATAGAGGAAATAAAAAAGAAATCTGACATTAAAGCGAACATTGTAGAAGTACCAAAACATCAAAAACTACAAAAGAAGAAAGTTCAAAATTTAGAGCGAACAAACACTTATGTTATGAAAAGTTCTCGAAACAAAAATGCAATAAGACAACCACATTTGACAAAAACTACTAAAAAAATTAGTAATGCTTCTCATTCCCGTTTCGATTCAAGAAAGGAAACTAATATTGGTTATACTTCAAATGAATCTTACATTATTGGTACGTATGGAATGGTGTAATTTTGATTATATTGAATGCATTAAATATTTATTTAAAGAAACTTTACTGAAAAATAATAATTTTCTCAGATCATTTTCAAGATGATATAGATAGTGATGCAGAGATAATAGAACAATCGACTGTGCAATATATGTTGTGTGATGGTGATCATTCTGATTCTGAATTGACCTTTGATGAGCTTCAAGCTTCACTGCTAAGCTTCAATACAAGCAAGGCTTCATTAAATGCCAGTAAAACAAGATCTTTAGAATCGCAAAGTAATGAAAGGAAAAAGGATATTGGCATAAAATTTTCTTCTACCTTAAAAAATAGTCCAAACGCCACGTTAGTATATTCTCAGAAGAAAGAGTCTGTAACAGTTTGTCGAACTTACAAAAATCAAAAAAAATCACAACTGTCAAATAATTTACTTAAAATACAGAAAAAAGTAATAAAAGAGGACATAGAAGATCCCACGTTGAGCGATTTTTCTACCTTCGAAGACGGACCAAACTCATCCGATGAATTACCACAAAATGATATGCAGAACTCTTTGATAGAACCACATGCGGTGAAAGTGAAAAGATCTAGAAAACAGCAGTTAACAGTGGTTAATCGAACTGATTCAGAAATTATTATTCAACCTGCTTCTGTCTTTTCAGAAGAGGAAGAGGAGCCGGTTGTGACAAAAAAACGAGGCAGAAGAAAAAAGAAACTACTTCCAGATCCAGATTATAATCCTCGAAAACCTATTAGACGTACTCGAAGAACTCACCGATCTGTTGAAGTAATCGAAATAGACATTGACGAGAATGATCGATCTAATATTATGGAGATAACACTCGATGGTAAAAAAGGAAAGGGTTCGAGTGATAAAGAAAACGATATTATTAGTGTGGGTGACTCGGATGAAAGTGACGAAGATTTAAATAAAAAGTCGAAGGACTGTATCATGCAGTGTAGTCACTGTAATCGTAAATTCCGAAAACGCAGGGCACTGGAAAGGCATTTGGAAATTTGCCCAAAATCGCCAGCAAATATTCAGAAATTGGAAGAAAGAAAGGCATGTATGATAGGGAAAGGAAAAAAATTCAAGTGTAAATCTTGTAATGAGTTTTTCGATATTGCTGTGGCATTGGCAAGACATGTCAGAGCTGTGCATTCGCCAAGGAAAAGAGGCAGACCCCCAAAACATAGTTGGTTGAGAAACGATTCGGATTCTAGCGACATAGAAGATAGTATGGACGAGAGTTCACCAGAGCCAGAACGGGAGCCTAGAAGACGAGGCAGACCACGAATCAAAAGCAGTTTATCCAAGGATGAAAGGTTTAATTATTTTTGTTGATTTTTTTCCTTTTATTTATTTATTTATTTTTATTTTATTATAACAAATCGATTTCTTTATGAGCCCTATTATCTACTAACATAACCATGTAAATAACATAAAATTATATGAATAATATTTTATATAAATTTTTATGTTACACAAATCTTATATTTAATATTTTCTCAAATAGAAGGCATCTTTGTACACATTTTTACTGTAAGTTCGTTACATAATGAATACAACATGTTACGTTTTAATACTAATTTAAATTAAATGTATTGCATGGCGGGGTATAACTTATTTTGTATAAAATTTTACAGTTAAATGTATAATTAGTCGTTTGTCCATAAATATATCGATATGTATATATACAAAGTTACATATTTATATACATTTATATACAAAGTTTGAAATATTCAAATATTTTACATTTATGCACATTTATATGACTTATAAAATTTTATGAAAGTAGAATAGAATTGAAAAGATATTTTGTTGAAAAATTTCATTGATTTTTGTATTAAAATAATGCTTTTCTTTTAGCCCTACTCCAGATATTGAGTTGAAGTTAGATAGCTCCTTCGAAACTTTTACAGAACCTCGTAAAAGAGGCAGACCACCAAAAAAAAAGCCTTCGAAAGAGAGATCAGCTTCACCTGAATCGATGGAAAAAAATATAAATTTAGCAGAACATAAAATGCAATCCATGGAAAGGCCTATAATGGAGTTTATATCAGAGCCTCGAAAAAGGGGCAGACCAAGTAAAAAAAGCTTATCGAAGGAAGGAAGGTCTGTCAGTCCGGATCTAAAAGATAAATCTGATATGTTAGACCTTCTTCCTATTCAAATACCCAAGAAACGAGGTAGACCTAGCAAACGAAATCTTTCTAAGGATGAAAGATCAACTACTCCAGAAGCGGAGGAAAAGAATGAAAGCTATGCCGAGATATCTTCAGAACCACGAAAGAGAGGAAGGCCGAGTAAAAGAAGTACTTCTAAGGATAAGAGATCAGAAAGTCCAGAAGTGGTGGTAAAAATTGAAATATTGTCAGAATCCAATTCAAATGATGATGAAATGACAACAGAGGTGGATGAAAAAAATGAAGATTCTATGGAAGCTATATCTGAATTTCGTAAAAATGTTAAATTTAATAAAGAGAAGTTTTTAGTAGATGAGAAGTCAGTGATGCCTGAATCAGAAATGAATATGCAAAACTTGATTGAATCATCGGATAAAAGTCAGCAAAAAAGTAAATTAAATCAAGACAAATTTTTAAAAGATGACATATCACAAGATTTAGAGATAGAAATAAAGGTTGAGAGTTCAGTAGACTCATTAGGTGAAACTCGAAAACAAGACAGCCAAAGTACAGATATAGCTTTGCAAGATGAGAGATCAGTAACTCCAGAAGTTGACGAAAAAGAGATAACAAGTTTGCAGAATATATTGGTAGATGAAAAGGATAAAATCAAAATTAAAAAGAAAATTTTGAGCCCTAATCGAACATGGAAAGTGAAGAAATTGAACTGTGCAGATTGTGGCAAATGGTTTTCTAGTGCTGCTGCACTAACTACACATCGTTTACAGCACAGAACTAAGACATCTGGTACGTCTTGAGTATATAATTAATTTTTATGTTATCATATACTTACAAAATTAGTTTTATATGAGTTTTATATGTGAAAATGTTTATTGTATATGGTGATCCTGCAACTTTGAAATTAACGACTATTTTTAAAGACAGTATTCAATCAATAATAAATCCTTGTAGTATTTGCTATATACAAAAATACAAAAATTGTATTATATACTTTTTTCATGGTAATAGTGATCACCACGACTTGTAATGTTATGATGCAATTTTCTAAATATTATTCATGGAGTCTCATAAGTATTACGTAGATAAAATCGATCAAGATGTATCATATTCTTGTGTCAATTTTACTGTGTACAAACTAATGTAGTACACATAATCGTGCTGTATGCATAATGAGCTGCCAATCATAAGTATTTGCCCAAAGTCATAATTTAAAACTTTATTATAGGAGGACTATTGATACTCCAGTTTTATTGTCCAATAAATTTCTTTTCACTTACTCTCTCAAGTTTCTTACTTACTTACTCTATAATTAATACTTTAATAGTTGATACTGTTTGTTAAATTAAGAATTAATACACAAAGAAAGAGGGTGAGAGTATGTGTGCACGCGCGTGAATACGCATGCATGTGTGTATATATTTGTGTGTATATATATATATATATATAATTAGTTAAGGCATGATTAAAGTACTATTTTTACGTAGTTTGACTTTTGTGTATTGATTAAGATATTTTATTTAGATAAATACTTGCCATAATTTTGCAAATCAGTAAAATTAAAAATTTTAGTATTCTCAATAAATTGTATAGATTGATAACCTACATTTACAAATGACAACTTCATATAAAAACGTCGTTAATTTCCGATCATTATTTTAGCTTAGCTATCGCTTATAGGATGGGATAATTATCGGATCTTTAATTTATTTTGCACGGCTTACATGCATTCTTTAAATATTGTAACTGTATAAAAATATTTAAAAAAAAAAATTTCCCTATTTTTACATTAAGACTCTTCACGCTGACACACAGTCCTAACCTTAAGTTGAAAGTAACAAAATGTTGACATTCATTGGCACTCTTCGCGACATTCGTACCATAGCAAAAAAAGGCTCCACCTTCCGTGGCTGATGTCGACAATCTTTGCATTGCAGGCCACCTAGCGCACCGTTGCCCATTATGCAAGAAGCTCATACCTCTGGAATTATTTGCCAAGCACCTGACGATGGCACACGGAAAACCAATGTCGGAGAGGAGTGGCGAGGGCGGCGGCAGTGGTGGCTTGCGACGTCCCATCTACCGTCATAAGAAGTGGGCGGCGCGGACGCTTCGCTCCACGAATTGATTCGGACCCGCCGAGATATATTGCTTATGATTTTTCGTTTTTTTTCCTTTCAATATGCTCGCATGTAAAAATGTATTATCGAGAAATCCGTAGAGACGGGTTGTTACGTTAGCTTTGTCGGTGCCTATCGAGTGGGGTAATTTTTACGATTTCAATTTATTTTGTACTCGTGTGTGCTTGCATACGTGTGTGGGTGTATATATAAATAAAATTAAAAACATTGGTTTTTGGACATTTTGTTAATAAAAGTGAAGGACTTGTCAAGATTTTTCTTGATTAATAAACGTTGACTGCCAATGTCTTCGAAAAATTCTATCGACGAATTTTTACTATACAATTATGTCCTTAAGGTCGCAATCTTGGTTTTATATTGAAGGAGTATGAGATTCGTTTGAAAATTTTTATTGTTGAGTATTTTTTCATACAAATGTTTACAAACTAATATTTTTAATTCAATTACGTAGTGTTAAGGCAAAAAAAAAAATTATTTTAGGAATTTTGTATTTTTTAAGGACCGATAGAAATAAATGTCCCATTTTTTTGTTTAATATCTTCTCTTATCTACATATTGAGAAAATATAAAAAATTGTGGATTATAGTGTTTGAGTAAATTAATATTATTTAAATAAAAGTTACTTAGTTACATTTTCTGTTTAATATATAGTATAAATTACAAATCATGTGTTGCTTGTGAAGGATTAAATTGAAAAATTTGTAAGACGATCTGGTAGGCTTAAGTTTTCAGAAATAATAACAAACAGCAAGATAATGATCGAAAATCTCACTTCAATTGTATGTAGAAGAAGATATAAGCGGGGATAATACTGCAATATCTAAAAAAATCTATTTCAATTTGATAATGGCCAATGGTAGCCTATTTCTATGAATATATTTACGTATGTGATACTCGTTTCCTGAATTATAGATAAATATTTTTACAAATTGTTAAAATTTATCTAAGAAGCAGGATTACCTCAATTGGCAGCAATTACTTCAGTTTTATGCATAATAATTATACACTATTATTATTATATATTTAAAATAAAATAAAAATAATTTGTTGATTTGTATTTGCCCGTTTTCCGAATGTTTTTAAATTTAACTAACATACTTTCTATTAATTAATTGAACGTTAATTAACAAATAAGTCATTTGGAGAAATTACAAATGGGACTGAGTGAACGAGTGATTAATGTTTGTATATTTGATACGTAGAGCAGTTTACATAATTAAATTATAAATTTTTTAACTATCGATAAAATAAGTCTTGATTTATATGATATTCTTTATTTACGCTAAAATCCATCGTATACATTGATATTATAGTAAAATTAAATGAAGTAATTGCTGAAATATGATAATAATGGCAGTTAGAAAATTATGGTACTATTAGGCCTTTCAAATATTGTTTTGTTTGATTGTCTGTTTGATGCAGAAAAAATTGAGTCTAAAAATATTAAATCAGTAATGTAAAAATGAAAAAAGAAACTAAATAGTTTTATAGGCTGTTTATTATTTTAATTATCGACTTTTTTAATATGCGAAATTATTACAAATAATTATTTTTATAAGTTAACACGTTTTCTTAAAATATTAATGAAATATAAACAGCATATAATATTATCAATAAATTTTAATAATAATATCAGTACTATATACTTTTAGAATTAATTTTTTAATTACTTAAATTTTATTTTTATTGTAATCAATACATATTTATCAACAATACTTTTGATATAATTAGTAAGAATGCATATATAAATTCTTTTATTTTTCTGCACCATCCAGATTAATTAAAAGCAGAATTGTAGGCTAAGTCTGATATAAACTTTCAGTAAACTTTTATTAATTGTAATACTTATTTAATCAAGTTATTTTCGGTTTTTGTATAATTTTTATCAAATTGAAACTTATTCTACATTTTTGAAAATTATTTTCTAATATTTAATATTAATTGCAAAAAGTATGTATTAATGTAGTCTTAAAATAGTTTTTAACAGTAATTAAATGTTTTAAAAATGATTGATAAATCATTAAAACGTATTTGGATTTCATGGGAGTTGCAAGATATTAAAAAATCATGATAAATAAAAATCATTGAATGAATAATTTTATTTAAATTTCATTAAGCACAAATTGTAAATAGTTGTGCAGAAAATAATCGATATTTAAATAATGAAAGTAAATTATACTTTAATATGTATTTAAATTGATAACGTATTATTTTACAATTTAAGAAACTCATGTTAACGCAAAGTAAAATTACAAAATATAATTAGTTTCATGTTTGTGAATTCGGTATTTTATGTTTTATACATTTATTATGTTATAATATAGTCTTTAATATTAATATTATATTATATTAATTATACCTATAACTTAAAAATGATATATGTTTGTATATTCGAGAGTTAAATCATGAGACTATTAAATTTTTATTAAAAAAATTTTATAGTCTTTACAGTGATCGAGCTATTATATTTATTTGAAATAACGAATTATAAAATAATTTAAAAAGTAAATTCTTAATTCATTCACAATAAGATTATTTCAAATCATTTCATTATAAAAAAAAATTATGAAAATTAGTTATTCATTTACAGTTCGAAATTACAGGAGGAAGTACAATTTTATGTAAACTCCAGTTCATTGTATAATCAATAAAATGAAGACTTATTAAAATTGAATATTCAACTTGTGTTTTGTGCTAATAAATTAATTGTTTTGTGCTAAAATTAATAAATAGAGAAGACCAAATATTTTTATCAAAATAATGCACACATTAAGTTGTAAAACTTGAGTTAATCGATAAGCCAACTGCATAAGGAAAGAAAAATAAAACTGTAAATAAATGTTCTCTTCGAAAAATAAAAATCAACATATTTGAAATAAGACTTAGATTAATCAAATCATTTGTAACTATGCGATTATATAAGTATGTGTAATTTTTTGGACATAAGATATGACGACATGTGGGCGATAGTATGTATGCATATATATGTTATAGTTTGCGTAATCTTATACAATTAATTCTCTTGTCGAAAAATGAAAAAAGGAACAATTTAAAGAATTCTAAGAGACTCGTGTTTACTTTGTAAACGTTGCTCTTATTTTGATACAGCCTTATGTATATATACTCGACAAAAATTATAAATTACATTAAATATAAATGAATAAAAATAAAATATAAAATTACAATAAATTATCTCATAATAAACGACAAAGGTGTTTCTGAACATTTGAATGTGCCTAATTTGAGTTAGAAAAAATCCTGTAATTTTCATCCTTTCAATTGGAAGAATCATAAGAATCATAATATTCATAGTCATTAGTAGTTTAAATATAATTTAAATAAAAAATTGATTATTATTACAAAATTTATAATTACTAAAATTAATTTTTGTAACCATTTTGAGAGATTTCGTATGAATTTTGTATATAAGCAATAATTGCAATCATGTTAAACAAATTTTGTGGAATAGTAAGAAAATTAGGCGTCAAAGGAAATGAAATAGGTGAAATACTGTTATTACGTATATTTAAAATACAATTTCTTATATTATATATGGTCAGGAAAATTTACGTCTAATTATATAGTGAAAATTATAAGTGCATAAAATGTATTCTTAATATACCAACATAATCACAGTTGGGAATAGAAAAGCATTATAGACTTTACATTATAATTTTCTTTTTTTATTTTATTTTTATTTATCAATTATTCTTCATAAATATGTATATATTTCATTTTGAAAATACTGATTATTTACATTTCTTTCCTAATTCGATAAAGATTGATCATACTTTTAACACAGCTGATTCGATTTTGATATGTATTAATAAAATTTAAATAAAATTCTTCTAAAATTTTATTTCTGCACAAAATTTAGTCAATTAATGAAGAATACTGACGATATCGTCTTATAGCATAAATTTTAATTGTAGTTTTCTTTATTGTTACTTTAAAATATTATTTCATATTAAATATTTAGGTATTTTTAATATTTGAAAAAATAAAGAATAGTATCATGGAATCAAAAAGATTATTTAGCATTGAGAAATATCATTGACAATGTACAATTGTATGGTTCATTATGACGCTTTCATATTAAAATGGATTTATAAAATGTATTTTCAAATATTTTATAATTATTTGCATTATTTGTTATCATTTTTTATGTATTGAAAATCATTAAATCAAACGGCAATCATTTTGTATTATAATACAAAATATATTATTACTAGTGATTATTTATATATTTGTTTTTGTTTAAAAACTGTTTGTTAATGTAGGAATGTATTTTTAATAAAATTCACGTGGCCAATTCTTTTATGCATATTATTTATTTAGAACATTGTTAAAGCTTGTTTAAAAAATTTAGAGTTATCTTTGAGAATGTATAAATTTTGTTTTTCTATTATAGTTTGTTAAGTATTAATATTATAGTTTAGAATATTATATAAATCAATATCAGTGTTCCATATTTGAAATCAAACATATAACATTTAAAAATATAAACATTCATATTTTCAACGTTTAAAAGACGGAATTTTTAATTTAAAAATAGAATTTCAATTTAAAATGATTAATTATTTCTAAAATATAAAATTTGTTATAAAAAAAATATGTAACTTTCTGTATATATTTGGAAATTTGAAAAATGATGGTTCTAATTAATTCTATTAATAATCTTTATCAGTCATTTGATTTTTTAGCCTTAATATTATTATTATTATTATTATTATTATTATTATTATTATTATTATTACTCATTTATTATATTATTTAGTATTCATTCTAAAGTATATATTTTATTATGAAATTTATGACATAATAGTAATGTATATTTTGAGGATATTACATAATTTAATAGTCGTAATAAGTAAATGATAGCAATGATTAAATTTAATGTAATTTACTTTGATGTTTACGAATATTTTTAAATATTTTGCGTTTAACTGTTATAACTGTATTTCTTATAATATAAATATTTTTCAGCACATTTTGCTATCTTAAAAGTTGACTATTACAATACAGAATGACAAATCCATAAATTGTAATTTATAATTAAGATAAAAAAGAATTTATATTTCGATTACATACTGATTTAAAACAAAGAAGGGACATATTGCTATTTATTTTGATTTTAAAAATCTTCTTGTCACGCACGCATTTGGAAATGTTTTAGACACGCATCACGTTTTAAAACTTGATTATTAAAAATTTTTTTCACGTGATTCTAGAACTCACGAAGTATATGTTTATCTAAATAAATAAGACAACTCCTCAAAAAATTGTCGCAAAAAAGTAAATTTGTCTTTATTGTTTTATTATAGTCTTAATTCTACCACATCTTAGTATTAATTTATAATTGTATTATGAATTATTATTAATTTCCATAAAATAATTTAAAATTGTATCTTAATGGACATATTTATTTAATATCTACGCTTTATATGAATTGCTTGCGATATGAGATCAAATTTAACTTTATAAAATAACAATATATTAGAATGCATGTATGATCGTTGAAAATGTTACTTAACATGTGAATAATGACGTAACTGCATGTAATATTTTAATTTAAAATTTATTTATTAAAACTCTAGGAAACTTATGGACATACAATAAAACTAACACATTAGATTAAAAAGTGGAAATATGTAAATATATAATATGTATTATAAAGTTAAATAAATGATAGATTTGAATAAGTAAAGTAAATCATCTATCGTGCATGTTTAAATTTTCTAGAGATAACTCATCTACACACATTATTTTTTAAATTAATATTTTAAATATAATTATACTGATTGAAATATTTTGTTTCATTATACTTAGCAGTCGTATAATTAATCATTTCTTTTATTCTAATATTATACACTTACTCGCCCTAAATCTATTATTTATTTATTCTTGCTTTCACTTTCTGCTTCCGTCTCCCTTATTCTCCTTTAAGTATTTACATACATCTCTTACTAAAATGCTAAAATATATTTTTAACACGATAGGATCAATAAAAAAACATAAAAAGTTTTCAAAATAAAATATTAAGGTTAAATAATAAAGCTGGCCTATTAACAAAAAGAGAAATCTTTTTAAAAACCGATATAAATAGTAGTCATTAAAATTTGTAACGTAAGTCTAAACTATTAAAAAATGACTTGCTTATTTTAAAAATATTTTTTCAAATAATAAATCAAATAATTTTGTACGTGTTATACAATGTTTTATTATGTAACTTAATAATCGGGATTTCATTAAAATCTTCATAAAGTAGTATCAAGTATCATAGAAATAATATCCTATTAATAAAGTAATACGTATACTGTTATTATTGAATGCATGTTAATAATAATCTTCGGTAAAGCTTATAGTTAATATGAATAATATTTATATTATCTTTTATATACTCAATAATTATAAAATTTAAGATCAAACCTGTTTTTATATGCGATGTATTGTACTGTATATACGATTTTATCGTTACATTAACAACGAAAGTAGACGTTTAACTATTCGCATGCTTAAAGATCGGAGATAAATATAGTTTAGTTACAATTACTTTATTATATAACAAGATAAATATGTCTGCCCTTAGTTTTATATATACTTTCATAAAATGTCCTGGATTTTTGCGGATTACTTTGTAATTTATTATAATGAATTATGTTAAGATTTTATGACAATTATGTATGTAAAGTACGCTTACTTAATTTTACTTAATTTACATTACAAAATTTTAATTTACTTTACGTGAATTGAATAAATTAAGAATATAATAAAATTCTTCTTATGTAATGTAAGAGCATGTTTAGTTGCCGTTATTATTTCTAATTTTTTTTAAATACCGTCCTTCACCATTACTTAATGCTAAGTAATACACTGTTTTAAGCAAAATACATAATGAAACTTATTTCATTGCTAATTATTTGTAGACATATATTTTTACTATTTATTTATTACATAAATTAAGGTTTAACATTAAGAATAGTTGTTCATTATTGTTATATATTAAATAATTTCGGACAGCGCCTAACAAGTAGCTTTTTAAAAATTACATTTTATCAAAAAAACTACTCAATAAAGTAGAAATATTATAAATTGATAAAAATAAGAACGAACAAAAATTATTAATGAAATACATGTATTTTACACTTCGGAGACTAAAATTTCTTTTAAACATAGACAATGTAGCAGTACGGAAAACTCGTTGCTCGGAGAATGAAGAATTTTCGAAATTGCTGATGCTACTTCTTCCGTTTCGTGCTCATGGTCTTGATTTTTCTTCATGTGCGCTTTCTTATCACTGCTCAAGTGACGTGCATATCTGCGCATCAAGAGTCGAAGGTGCTTTGGGACATTAGTGGGCTAAAATGTCGCGCACAAAGAGTTTTACGGTCAACTGACCTGAATACCTATTAAAACATCGATAATACATAATTTTAAGTGAGTCGACATCACGGGAATCTTAAAATGGAACGTAAAAACATAAACTACATGGGACACCACGTTTAATTAATTTACATACATTGTTGTTGGTAAATAAGGCTTATAGTGACCGAGCAAATGTTATACAAATATGTGCTTAAGTCTTTAATATGCAAATTATAATTATTGAGTTCGTAGCTATCCATATAATACGAAGAGTACAGCATATTTTACTGCTAGTTTAGTTATATAATATTTATATCTCAACATTTCACTGTCTTTTCAAACACTTGCAATATCTGTATTTCCCGTATTTATCTATATTCTATTGATATTCTGTAAATTGATCTATATGCCTTTTTTTATAAATAATAAATATAAATAAATAAATAGATATCTATATTTAGTAATAATACAATACTATAACTAATTACAGGCATTCATTAGTTTTTCATAAAAGCCTTAATAAGATTGACAGAAAATAATTTTATTGTGCGAGTCAAAAGAAATTTTTAATACATATTACTATAATTATAATCAAAGTAATAAAAATCAATAAAATAGTGCGGAGCTAATAGAGAAATCTTAAATAAAATGCGAGGCGCTTGAAATTACATTCATGTAGCTTGAAACAGTTACGTGAACTACATTAAAATCAAAGCATATGGCATTTTTATTAAATAACGGGATTACAATAACTTTTAATTTCAAAACGACCATAAATCATAAAAATAATATAAAAATTATTTTTTTAAATAATATTGTTTTTAAATTAAAAATTTTTAATGTTAATCATAATTTCGTAAACGTGTGAGGTATAATAAAAATACATAATAATTACAATTAACATTAAAAGTATTTTCATAAATAAATAACAATAAAATTATGGAATATATGGATTATATGGAGTTAAATGCGAATGGTTGATGCAATAAGTGAAAGACTGATATAAAAGTATTCATTAAAATCATAAATTTTGACTCTTCACTTACACATTTGAAAAGGAATACTGAAAGTCAGGAGAATAGAGAAAGTACAGAGATTATGGCTATGTAGAGAAAATAATTCGGAACATTTTACAGAAATTTTATGAAAAAATAAACGTAAAAAGAAAACATAACATATTCTGAAAGTAAAAGAGAGCAAGGATTAGAAGCTTTAAAAGATTTTGATAAAGTAATCAAAACAGAGAGATGGAGATAGTCAAGCAGACAAAGAGACGGATAATAAAGGAACAGAGGTATAACATAAAAGAATTTTAGTAAATTTAACAAAAAGATGGGAAATCGTCGAATTAGTGTGCTAAAAGAGGAAAGACGAAATCAATTTTATTAGAAAATGAATGTGCAATACAAGATAAAAATAAATAAAAAGCATCAATAAAGTAAAATTAATGTTTACGGAACATATTTTCATAAATATATAATATATGAAATATATAACATTATTGTTATTAGTCATTCATAGCAAAAATGAATCTGAAAACATTTAATTCAGATAATCAAGAATACAATATATGTTTGATTAATGGCAATGAGTATTGTAAAATATTGATATTGGAAAATAAAAATTTTAGATTAAATCCTTTGTTTCAATTAATGTGTATAGTTTTTCTTTAAGATTTAAAAGGGCAATGATCAGATACTAAATATATTTTTACTAAAAGCTTTTTTTCCTTTTTTTTACAAATGTAATATTAAAGGACGCAAAATTTATGATTTGACATTAGAAAAAATCCAACGAGTGCATAAATATATCTGTTAGGAGGTGGAATCAAATAAACTACATAAAAAATTAGATACTTTCAATCAATTTATCGCACGTCCAAAGATTATTCGTTACCCAATTTATGCATTTTTGAGACGAAGATATTTTGGATTTTCGCTTGAAATGAATCCTGATAATCCATATGGTGAAAGTGTAGCTAAATAAAAAATAATGGTACCACACAATTGCCTCTTCCCCTCCACCCAAATATATCGTCGCCAAAACAAAATGCCCTTCCCATTTCGCTGTCTGTCTCTCTCTCTCTCTCTCTCTCTCTCTCTCTCTCTCTCTCTCATTCTCCCAATCTCTTCCGCCCAAACGACAATTTAAAGGGTCCCCTTCTAGAAGCCAATTCTAGATTCGTTTCCAGGTGAAGTTGTCCCTCCTCCGAGCTTCGTCGCCCCTGCAGCACGTGTGGCGAAATGGGTCGGCTCGCCCGGTGCTGCCCCCTGCCTCGGCTCCGCGGTCCACCGGGAGTCCCGGCGCCGATACCATGAACAGTCGCTCGC